AAATGGATAATGACAGAATAAAATATAAAGTGTTTATATGGTCAATCAGAAAAGGTAGTTATAAAATTAAAAATTGGAGTTATAAAGTTATGGAAATGTTAAAACTTTACAATATGGATATATTTTGTAATGTAGATGATTATATACTGGATAAAAATACAATTTATCAGTTAGAAGAAAATATTTTTGATAATTATAAAACTGAATGGAGTACAAGACTTGATTCTTATGGTCAAGGAAATAAGTTGAGAACTTATAAATTGTTTAAATTTTCATACTCTACTGAACAATATTTGTTACAAAATATACCTACTCATTATCGCAGTGCATATATATGCTAAATTTAGATGTGGAGTAGCACCTTTAAAAATTGAAACTGGTTGTTACTAAAGATTAGATTTAGATAAAAGATTGTGTTTCAATTGTGATAATATAGAAGATGAAAAACATGTATTGTTAACATGTCCATTATATGAAGATCTAAGACAGTCTTTATTTATTGATATATAATTCATCAGCATAATAATATGTTTTTAATTTTATCAGATGATGGAAAATTTATATTTTTGTTCAAAAATGAAAATGTTTGTAGTTTTGTTGCCAAAACCTGCCATAATATTTTATTGTGACGAAATAGTATTTTATATCATTGAAAATTGAAGATGTTAATTTTATGTACATGTATCAATCTTTATCCTTGAATGTGCTTGGTGATATTGCACTTTTATATTTTGTGTAAATAACAAAACTATGTTTTATTCTGATGTATTAACATGATCAATTAATACTGTATATAACAGTCTCTCATAGTTCTTTTAAGAATGGCACATGCATTCTAAATTTTATATTGTGTATTAAATGTCATATTGTGTTTATACTTGTATGTATGTGGTGAGACTATAATAAACTATTGAATCTTGAATCTACATTGTAATCTACCATAAATAACTTGAAATTATGAAAATTAATATTGGTACAGTTACATAGAAATTACAGTTACTTCAAAAATGTAAATCGTATAATAACTTTTATGTCAGAAAAAAATGTTTGAGGCAATGATTAAAGGAATTAAGGTCAGTATTTTAAGGGAAAATTATGTAATTGGTGCATGTGCCATTAAGTTATTGTGACAACAGATTGATTTTTTCTTAAATCTTGTGCCATCTGTCCACACCTCTTACAAAAACTGGAGACTGATTTGTTAAATTTTCATGAAACATGCATGGAATACAAAATTTGTATTTGAATTAGTGGAAAAAAGCTCCCATTTGATTTTGATAAATTTTCAGTTTGTTGTTCCAAAGTCGTGGGTTTTAATCATCAGATTTCAGGTAACTTGAAAAGTTATTTTGAAATGTTATTAAATTGAAAGTTATTGTTGATACTTTCAGCACTCCATACAGTGTAAAATTTGAAGCATACTTAAGCTAGTTTATGCATGAAAAAATGCCTTAAGGAAGAAAACATATCTATTAGAAATGACTTGCCTTTGCCTAATTTATTTTTTCCTAATTAATTCTAAGCTACCGAGTAATACAGATTTAATATCTGTATTGAACTGCCTGTTACAGATACTTGACCCTGACTTAATCTGCTGGTACAACACACTGGAAAATTCTTGAAATTAAAAGCTTACTTTTACCAATCAGAACAACAGTGTAAAGTTTCAAGAAAATCGTTCGGAGCATACATGTACGTGAGTAAATGGGCAACATATGAAAAATAGCACTCTAGATGTCCTTATGTTATTTTTGTTGTTGGTTTAGTGTCTTATTGATGTGTACCCCAAATCTCCTTTTACTTATTGAATCTGAAAAAAACTGATGACTCAAGTCCTATAGGCTACACCTCTGGAAAATTTTCAAAATAGAATGTGATCTTCTTTTACAAATCCCAAGAACCAGAAAATTGGTTTTGTGGGTTAAAAAATATATCCATATTTTATATATATTCTAACACAAAATTATGCAGATCAGTTTCTTCCCCTGACTCGACTTGGAGTATCTGATAGATTGGACAGTTTAGTTGGGGAAACTTTTAAGTGGTACATTAGAGAAATAAAAACCAAAACAGAATGAAATGTTATTGTGTCCAAAAATTGTAGTTTGAATTTCTTATTAAAGTACAAAACTTGGACAACTGGTTTTTTCTTTTATTTTTTGTCTTTTGGACAAGTAAAATGTCATGGTCACTTGCCTGATGGACAAGTTGTTATAAAAGTCAATACTGAACCTTGTGTTGTGATTCAAACATATACAAGTGCTACAAACAGTTTTTTAGCTCACCTGGCTCAAAGGGCCAAGTGAGCTTTTCTCATCACTTGGCGTCCGTCGTCCGTCGTCGTTAACTTTTACAAAAATCTTCTCCTCTGAAACAACTTGGCCAAATTAAACCAAACTTGGCCACAATCATCATTGGGGTATCTAGTTTAAAAAATGTGTCAGATGACCCGGCCAACCAACCAAGATGGCCACCATGGTTAAAAATAGAACATAGGGGTAAAATGTAGATTTTGGCTTATATCTCTGAAACCAAAGCATTTAGAGCAAATCTGACATGGGATAAAATTGTTTATCAGGTCAAGATCTATCTGCCCTGAAATTTTCAGATGAATCTGACAACCCGTTGTTGGGTTGCTGCCCCTGAATTGGTAATTTTAAGGAAATTTTGCCGTTTTTGGTTATTATCTTGAATATTATTATAGATAGAGATAAACTGTAAACAGCAATAATGTTCAGCAAAGTAAGATCTACAAATAAGTCAACTTGACCAAAATGGTCAGTTGACCCCTTAAGGAGTTATTGCCCTTTATAGTCAATTTTTAACCATTTTTCGTAAATTTTTGTAATCTTTTACAAAAATCTTCTCCTCTGAAACTACTAAGAAAAATTTAACCAAACTTGTCCACAATCATCATTGGGGTATCTCGTTTAAAAAATGTGTCCGATGACCCCGCCGGTGAACCAAGATGGCTGACATGGCTAAAAAATAATACATAGGGTAAAATGCAGTTTTTTGGCTCATATCTCTGAAACCAAAGCATTTAGAGCAAATCTGACAGGATACAATTGCAGTCTTCGAATTTAGCCACAAGTCCGACGGTCCTGGCCAGTAAAATCGGCCGCGGACTTGTCAAATTTGTTGTTCAAAAGTCCGACTGGGCTTGTAGATTTTTCGGTAGTTGGTACGCTCTTTGCGTCTTTGGTAATTAGTGATACCAATAAATCGGTTTCTATTTTGCGCTTTTTCACATGAATTAAACGTATTGCGATTAATACTGGATCGAGACATTGTATGAAATGACAGATCATTGGTTTCCTTCCCCCTAACTTATATTCCCAAAATGTTTCTTCGGCAATGTACTGGCGGAGCTCGTCCGGGGAAGCCGTTTTAGCCCCCCGCCGATGAAAATGTAAGGAAGAGAAAGTACGACGCTACATGGTCCATCAGTTCCTTTCAAGTTGGTTAGAAGGAAGTCAGTGGTTGATGTACGAGTTGAAAAAACAAAATGTTCTGTTCATGGTGCACAGAACATAAAATGGATTCACAGTTTGTGACCCCAGGTGGGGACAACTTTAAACTGGATACTATTAAAATTCACGAGAAGAATAAGAGTCACAAATTTATTGCTCTAAATATGAGAAGCCTGCAGCTGAACCATCAGAGGCTAAAAAATGTTACAGCATTCTAGAGAAGGCACCTTCTTTCTAAATTTTTAAGAGAATAAAATTATTATAACAGCTACTTTTTACTTTTTTCTCCAATTGTCAATGTTATTCCTATTAAATTTATCTTCAAAACATGACACTCAAAGCTCTCAGAATGCAGGATTTTGCATCTAATTTTTCAAAATTTTTCTGGGGGGGCATGCCCCCAGACCCTCCTAGCTGGTTCGCAGCGCTTTGCGCTGCTCAGCGATGATAATAATTTGTGTGGTCTTGTATAATTTTCTGGGGACTTGTAAAAATTTATGAACCACAAGTCCTACTGACTTGTAGGTTGAAAAGTTAAGTGTGAAGACTGCAATTGTTCATTAGGTCAAGATCTATCTGCCCTGAAATTTTCAGACCAATCAGGCAACAAGTTGTTGGGTTGCTGCCCCTGAATTGGTAATTTTAAGAAAATTTTGCAGCTTTTGGTTATTATCTTGAATATTATTATAGATAGAGATAAACTGTAAACAGCAATAATGTACAGCAAAGTAAGATCTACAAATAAGTCAACATGACCAAAATTGTCAATTGACCCCTTAAGGAGTTATTGCACTTTATAGTCAATTTTTTACAATTTTCATAAATTTTGTAAATTTTTGTAAATTTTTACAAAATATTTTCCACTGTAACTACTGGGCCAAGTTCATTATAGATAGAGATAACTGTAAGCAGCAAGAATGTTCAGTAAAGTAAGATCTACAAACACATCACCATCACCAAAACACAATTTTGTCATGAATCCATCTGTGTCCTTTGTTTAATATGCACATAGACCAAGGTGAGCAACACAGGCTCTTTAGAGCCTCTAGTTTTTGGAGGGGGAGTATACACTACAGTAATCATCCTGTCTGTTACTTTCCATCTAACTGTGTACATTGTAAAAACAACTCTTCCTTACATGATGTACAGATATTAATTCTTGAAAAAAGAATAAATTTCAAATAATGGAACTTTAAAAACTTATCACCTGACTCGAGTAACTTTATCCCGGAAAAAAATTTAATACAAAGTTCAGAAAAGAGGAAGGTTTAAATGTCACTAGAGCTTATTTTTGAAGGTTTAAAAGGACATTCTTTTTTAACTTTTATTTACCAAGTTTATTGTGTTAAATGACCTTGATTACACTTTATCAAAAATAAAGTTTGCAAATTAAATTCAAGCTAAAACTTGATAGGTAATATAATCCTTAACACTTTCAATTTTGAACAAAAAGTAGTAATTTAAATGTATATTACACATTGAGTTCTATCAAACAGTGCTAAAATTGTCAATTAAATGTCAGATAGACAGTTAAACGACTGTAATCAAGCTATTTTGTTTTATATGTTTTGGTACAAGTTGTCATAATTGTCCAACCACAAAAATCTGACAATTAGATGTGGGCTGAAACCTGAATCATTATCTTGTACATCTTCTGTGTATTCAGTCGTGATTAAATTATCGGTTCACCTGGAATTTTATCTCAAAAACAAGACAAAATACTACAGGTGAGCCTTTTTAAATTATGTTAAAAACAATTAGAATATTAGTTTTTTTTTGGTTTGTTTGGTTATTTTTTGGCTATTTTAATATTTTATCATTTTTTGCAATGTTCCAAATTTAATTATTGAAGGTTTGCAATGGCTGAAATGATTGGGAAGAAAAAAGTCTATGTATTGCAATATTGCAATATTTTGATAATTGGATTGAATGATTAAATGAATCTGAAGGAAGTCATTAAAATATGGTCTTTGATGTCAAATGTTTGTAATCCGATAAAAGATTTCTTGATCATAATAAACTGATGTTATAATAATGAAGTTCTGGATATATGTACATGTATACTATACTGCAGTGTTTTGCTCACTGATTTTTTTAGAAAATAAATAATGAAACATTTTTCTATTAAGAATAAATTAGAACTTCAATTAGACATTTGGTTTGTTATGCTCATTTGAACTAATTTCCGTAGGTCTTTAGAAATTGACGAAACGAAAGATACAAAATTTATGCTTTAGGAAGATATCATTTACATGAAGGTAACAAAAAATGTTGATTTGATGGATGGCAAAGTTATTGTAAGAAGATCTATACCATGTACATGTAGTTAGATTTTATAAAATAATTGAAAAAGACATGAAAGTTTAAGTTACCCTGATACGCTTTATCTATTAGTAAGACACTCAGTGTTGTACAAGGTTTTGATGCCTTCTTTAAGTGAAAGAGAATACTATCCACATTTACCCTAATATTCCATTTATTCAATTTTTGTCAAATCTGGCCTGCTTTCAGAACCATATATTACAAATAAAATTGTTAATGACTTTCGATCATTTTTGTTGAAGCAGGCCTGGAGGAATTGCAAGTGCTGTTGATTCAAAGTTTATGCTAAGGTTATACAGGGGAGACATATCAGTAGAAATATTCCTGGCTAATCCTGCAATTTGATTGGTCACATTGACAGGGAATATGAGCCCATATACCCTGTGAACAAAAACAAAGATAAGAACATAAATAATGTTAAAATCAGGACACTCCGGTATAATGTATTTGTTATTTGTGCTTTACAGGGATATGGGCTCATATTCCTTGTCAGTGCCCTTTATCCGCTTCGCCAAATGGCTTAGGAGATATGAAATACTGACAGGGAATATGAGCCCATATGAGGGGGTGGACAGGGGGTACCCTTCTTCCGCCTCCGTATCTCCCACTTCCCACTTTTTAATCTTTTTTTCTCTCTCCCACCTATTTTTTGTTTCCCCCCCCCCCCCCCCCCCCCCCCCCCCCCCCTTTCTCAAAAGCTGTCCACCCCTCCCATATCCCATGTGAAGATCCTTAATAAAATATATTATTACCTTTGTTTACCATGACTTTGTATGCACTTTGTCAATGATGACCTTCAAAGTCCCATATATATAACATCATGTTCTAGTATTTTAGTTTTTGCTGAGACTACCGGTACATGCTTTCCAAATTTTGAATAACAAGTGTAAAAAAATATTACATAACAATATGTAAACTTAAATGTTAAAGGTTTTTAATGCATAGACTTTTGAACTAATACATTTGTATAGATTTTAAAGTACATGTAATACAAACAATATTTTTTTATTAACCTGAATCTTTGAATTTAGTTACAAGCTAAGATTCTATTTTTGTTGCTTTATCATGTTTATGTGTAATTTATAATTTTTAGGTTTTTTTGGCTTTCGAAAATATGGTCTTGAACAAAAATTTACAGATTCTTAGTATTCCTTTGTTTGAAGCATCTCTCATCTCTTATACAGATAATTTTTATGCCCCACCTAGGGGCATTATGTTTTTCGGTCTGTCCGTTCGTTCCTTCGTCCGGCCGGCCATCTTCAGGTTAAAGTTTTTGGTCAAGGTAGTTTTTGATGAAGTTGAAGTCCAATCAACTTGAAACTTAGTACACATGTTCCCTATTTTAATTTTTTTAATGCCAAATTAGAGTTTTGACCTCAATTTCATGATCCATTTGAACATAGAAAATGATAGTGCGAGTGGGGCATACGTGTACTATGGACACATTCTTGTTTTTATCATTTTCAGTGTTCATTATATATATTTAGTTGTAATACCACCAAATCATAGAACGTCACATCCAGTTTCCTATGAAAAAGGATTGAAAAAAAATATTCCCTTGAATTTGACAGTTGTAGGAAATTAACCCTGCATTTCATTGCATAAAAAAAATTGTGAGCCATAAATATATACATGATATATTTTGGGTAAAATTCTGGTGATGTTATTATCTTATATGCAATGAAATGTTATGTGAAATTTTCACTGTAGTACTGGACAGGATAAAACTTTACTCATGCCAAGTATTTCTTTATTTGCAATTGAAACAAAGACAAATTCTGCATAATTTTATGAAAAGTCCCAATTTAACAAAGACTAATAGGGGAAAAACAATGGTGGTATTACTCCTCATATATATTTCTTATTTAGCTTATTAATATTATGTCATTGTATGATCTTTAAGAAATTTGTGTATTAAGCTTTAAAGTGGAATTGAAGATTTGAATAGGAGTCATCTTTATATTTATCATTGATCTTATCTGTGATAAATAAAGTTTACTTCCTTTGTAAGCAACTCTTTTCAAATGCACTCAAGTGTTGAGAAAAAATAAAAAGATGTAATTTTGAAATATATTTTGCAAAACAGGGTAACTACATGCAGTATGTTTAAATAGCCTCCGGAAGAAATTTTGAAAAGAAGATTATTTTTTACATAAGTATTCATTATATTAACATGACAAGATAACACCTGATATGCACATATTTTGAATGTGGCAGAGATCTCTGTACAGACTTCTTGACAGGTGAACGTCGGGGAAGATAAGTCACAAGGGTTTGTTGGTAATATACTAAGTATTTGATAAACAATGTAATCAAAGGATAATTGTTGCCTCTTGTCTGAAAATGTTTCCGTGTCCTAGTAATGTTAACATATTTCTGATGTTTGAGGATTGTGATAGGGATATTGTCAATCCTAACAATGGTTCATTACCTACTTACATGATATTAAAAGACCTTGCTGACAAAATGGGGGAAAAAACTTGAAAACTGGTACAACTTGTTAGTCACCAGAAATGATTCACTTTTGAATTTAAAAAATTAAATTGTTGCCATTGAATGGTTGAAATTCTGATTAACTCCAATGTCAGCCAAAAAAGTTGTTTTATCAACTGACCATAAAAAAATTACAACACTTGTAGATTAAGCTAGATGAAAAAATTGTTTCCCATGTCAAATGCATGTGTGGTATATCAATAAACAAAAGCAAGTGAGAGTTCTGATTTTAAAAAGCCCTCATTTATGAGCAAGTTCCACACAAACAATCCTTGGTTTCCTCAAAAATGTTTGGCTCAGAAACACTTGAACAGAACATTGGGTTCTGACATTGTTATGCTGATGTTATTGGGTTGCTGTCTTGTCTACTTTTACCTGACATACGAGATAAAAGCTGATGTAATTTGTCTAGAGCAGTTTGGGGTTTTGACTCTCCCAAATGTTTAAAATATTTGACTTTATTCATGTTATATTTTCATTAAAAACATATTTCGACTTTGTAAACTTTTGGTCTCCCTCACACTAATACAGGTTGTTCGAAAACAATGGTTTTGTACACTAGAATTATTACCATATTACCATTCATTTATAAACATCAATTTTATTCGTGACTCATGGACTTTTGAAATATGGCTGTTTGTATTGTCAAGGCAACATGACTTATAGTCTATATTCTAAAATGAATAATTTGTCATAGACGGATACTAGATAATTTGCTGAAAGTTCTAGTTACAGCTGTTACTAAAACTACAGAAAATAGCTGAATTTGCCCGTTGTTTTGGCTTCCTGTAATTTATCAAATCTGTTTTAGAAACCTGAAGCATAAAATGTGTGAAAAATTTACAACTTGACTTAATTCTCTACATCGCCTTTAGAAAGGAAAGTAAAAGGGATAGTATTTAAAAATCAATTTTATGTGTGTTTTATTGAAATGAACTGCTTAGATTTCATGACATAAATATAAACTTGACAATAAAAATATCTTTTACATTCATTAAATTAACATTGAGACAGTACCTGTGAAACTGTTTAACAGTTCACTAAACCTTTTGTTTTATATGTTAGGATAGGTTGTACATGCATAATTCATTTAAGATATTTAAATTTTATATGAAGAGAGTGAGTGATGGGACCAGTTTTCACACAAAATTATTAATTGAGGCAAATTATATTTACAGGTAAAATTGCAATATCTTTAACAACTAAGGGACCGAAATATGTTTTTGTAACACTATAGTTGTAGTTGGGCCGAGAACAAAATGCTGTGTTTCTTGATAATATATAAACAAATTGAAATGATTAGTAAATATTTTTTTTTATTTACTAAATTTTTTTGTTTGGTCTGAGGCATCATATATATGTAAATAGAGATGCAGATCTTGGATTTTGAAAAGGGGGAGGGAATGGGTGATGCACCAAGAAGAAAACTTTAGGCATGTGACTTGTAAGAAGTCTATGCATTAACCATAAATGAAACTGTAAGGCCCCCCTCCGTAAAGCCTCAACTGAAATATGGAATATAATCAAACTCAATTTGAATTTAGTTCTCCTTTCTGAATGTATTGCCTTTTTTATTAGACTTGTTTAAGATGGGGATGAAAACAGTCTTGTACACAGTCACATGACATTTTTAGTATCACTTTATTGATGTATTCACATCATAGAATTTATAAAGATGTGCTTCAGAACTCACCAAAGATACCAGGCATACAATTTAGTATACCTGACAAGCTTTTTGTCTCAATAAATAATTAAAAAAAATGTGAAAGACCTAATCAGTAATGAAAGATATTAATTGAAAATAAAAAATTCCAAATCTGCCTACTGTTTTGTCATCTTTTCCTGGGGGTAGAAAAACCTTACTGTTTGTTTTTCATTCAAGAAAATGTATTAGATCTTCTGTCCACTCGAA